GCATTTCTCTCCTCATAGACAAAGGCAGGCTATGCACTAACTCTGCAGACATATGTGAACTATTCAACAAAACGTTTGCAGGTAACTACCTTAAGCCCTCAGTCCAGCTACTCGATATACACCCTATTAATAATATGGCACAAACACCATCTCCACTCACACCAAACCAAATTAGCACTGTTCAATTCAAGGTTCTTACAATCTGCGTAACCAAACTTGCACAGTGACCACTCATTCTTTTAAGTCCACACTCCGTGAAACCTTCTTCACAGTCATGTATTCTAAAATATGGAATAGCCTGCCCCTAGATGTCAGAACTTGCTCTTCGGTTACAAGCTTCAAACGCTCTCTATACAGACTGTTTCACTCTACTGATTATATTAATAAACTATTTACTCCTAAAACGAATCAACTACTAATCTACTACAGCACCTGAAAAACGCATTTCAACACTCTTAGCAATCTAAAAACTATAAATAAACTAGCAGCATGGATGCGTAAAGGCTTAGTACGGAACAAAGAGGATTAGTTTACCCTTAGATATAAGACGTGTCACTTTATTGTAACCATCAAACGCTTGCTATATAAACTGTTTTATTCCAAAGAGTATCCCTACCAGAACCTATTACTTGTTTCTAAAACGCATCAGTCATTAGAATACTAAAACACTCAGACTCATTAATACACATTATGACACTAAATAAAAGACTTCGCATAAATACGTGAAAAGACAACTAAAATTAAAAGTAATTTTTTTACTAATGTGTTATACAATTGATATAAACATTTGCATATATACATCAATATCCTTTTTATGTTCACATACTTTCTATTTTTGGTACTCTGCTACTCCTATTCATCTTCTGGTCGAGGTCGAACCACCCTGCATCTAAACTGAAATGAGGATTAATTCCAAACCATCTATCTTATAACCACACAAATTCCATGAGCGATCCAATTCTGCCATTTGAAGACGCTGGTGAACATGCTGTAAATGAGTATTCATGATCTGAAATGAAGAAGCAACTGGTTTTCAAACAGTTTTCAACATTTCACTCACCTTACGAATACAGTCCACCATGCAGACACAAGTGGAGCAAATGGAGAATTCTGGAATCGACCTCGGCACCATTTGATGCAGTAAAACAACCCAACATGACCTTATCTAGTTTTCGCATCCACGATCAAATTTCTTTCCTGTTATGAAACTACGATAAGACTGCTGAAAAAGTGGAATAAATATATCACTGATCTCAACAGAATACATCAATAATCTTTAAGCCTAGGGTGTTGTTGAAAACAAAGTTATATAGGAGAATTGACTTCAAGATTTATTTTTCCCAGATATCTGTATTACATCCATCTGATATCTGGTTTTTTGTTAATGCGAAGACAATATTTCTATATTTCTTTATTTGTTGCACAAACAGACTTTATAGCAGACTGTTGCGATGGACTCTAATGTCAGAATGAACAACCAAACTGTAAGTCCATTATACATCAAATTATGTGTAATTTATATAATAACTCATCCATGCCTGTACAATAGGTATGTTCCTGCATAAACAGGAACAAATATATATTTGTCCAGTACTCCCAGGTTTTCCAATGGTTCTCTAACTAATGTCAGCTCATAATAATAATAATGTATATTCTCATATAAACATATAAATTTACATGAAAATGCATGCCATTTTTACAGGCACGATCAAGTATGATATAATATCAAATCGTAGATTGTCTACAAGTTAATAATGTTTCAACAGTTAAATATTTGATATATATATAAATACACATTGTCTGAACTAGGCTGTATAGTTATTGAATTGTACAGTTGTCCTCCAGGTTGAGCGGGAAAATGTACTTCGTTTCGTTTTCATCACGTGGTTGTCGGCATACGATAACCAACCAATATTGAGGTAAGTACAACGTTTACAAGGGATTGAAAGCTGTTTTAGAAAAGTAAAAGTGCTGAGGTGAATCATTAAATTGTAATGAAATAGGTAAGTGCAAGTATCATTAATAAATGCATTAATAAAATAAACTCCCTAGGCTGACAACGTTCATTTGCAATGTATAATGCTACACGTGTACCTCGTACTATCATGATGTCCACTTTTGGTTTTAATACATTTATCCTCAGTTGTGCCAGTTGTTTTTGTTTTATACCTTTTTGTGCATTTAGTGCACAACCGTACCCTTCAGAGAGTAGGAATATAATAAGTCATAAAGAGCTGTAAAATGTTAGGTTTAATGGAATATAATGAGGATCAAGTAAAGACGTTATTGGAAAATGAATGAGATAAGACATTGTGAAGTGGTATTTAAAGATCAGTCAATGGACAGCAAGTTAGTTTATAAGATGCCCCATAAAACTGTGCACATCCCACATGGTCGCATCTCAACAATAGGCTGAGCGAATAGTATATATTTAGAGGTAGAAGCATGATCTGTCAAGGCGTTCATTATTATCTTTTTCAAGATAAAGATCTAAGCCCTCATAAAAATCAGAAATATCTCGAGCCTTTAATTTGTGTATTGCTGTTCCTGCAGACTGGGGCGATTCACCTTAGTGACCCCCACAATATCTACTGATCATGATGAAATCCTGTAACCAATCAACGAATTCTCTACAAACCAACACTTGAATAGAAATATGTATCTATGAAATTAATAAAGAGATAAGAGGCGAGAAGATAAATTTAAGTCAACATAAAGGACATACTGATGGCCGAAATAACAATGAAGATCATTCATTAAGCCAAATAACAGTGGTAATAGTACATCTCGCCTAAGTGGTATCGAAATAAATTTTACCAAGGAAGGTGGTTCATTGTGATGACGAATTGTTGCTTTGAGCGCATAAAGGAAGTTTAAACATCAAAATTAATATCAAGGGCTTCCACAAACCTTTGCGTACGCCCTAAAGACGTTTTATAGATAGGCATAAAAATTTTTTAACGTCAATTTTATGTCCTGGCTCTAAAATACATTTCGCGATAGCCGAGCTAGGTCTCCTGTTCTCACCAATAATGGGTTCTGAGGATTCTATCTGCTGTATTTAGCACTTCTAATGTACATATGGACACACATACATAGAAAAGCCTCATTGATCTCTGCAAGGAAGGGCTGGTTTCAGAGCATATTCCTAAGTGGCTGCAGAAACAAACAGAATCCCAAGAACCTATAAATGGTGGGAACAGGAGACCAAGCTCGGCTATTGCGAAATGTATTTTAGAGCCAGGACATAAAATTGACGTTAGCACATCTTTTGAATCTATCTATAAAACGTGTTTAGGGCGTATGCAAAGGTTTTTGGAAGCCCTTGACATTAATTTTGATGTTTAAACCTCTTTTATGCGTTCAAAGCAACAATTCGTCATCACAGTGAACCACCTTCTTTGGTAAAATTTATTTTGATACCAATTAGGGTAGATGTAGTATGCATATCTTCACAGTTCAAGGGTGGTCATGAAAGCCAAATCACAACAATAAAGGTCTCAGAGTGGCACTCAATAGAGACTGAGTTGCAGCTTAGCTCATTTTCGTAGGGAAAAATAGACTTTCGTTGTCTCTTCAACCCTCACAAAATCAAAACGATAATGTCACGTCACAATGGGACGTGACAGTTAACATTTGTGTGTGGTCAGACGTACGTAGGATGGACACCGACTTCTTCAGGTGAAGGTTATAGAACACTTACGTGAGTAGTTTGAAGAACAGATAAAATCGCCTGATACAATTAGTTCCAGAAATAGATATGCACAACGTTATTCATCGCAATGCATATCATGGTTTTCTTTAATCTAACAAATAGTCCCATTAGTTTTTGTTTTCCTTTCCTCGTTAATATTACACTGTTTGTTCTCATCCTCTATCATACATCAACTTTATATTTCATATCCTGTGGTGCATTGTTTGAAATGTAAACTCTACTGTTTTTTTTAAATTTTTTATCTTTTATTTTTTTGGCGTTGGTTTATATTTTTTTCATGCATTTATTTTTTGAATTTAAAAGTCTCATAAAATTTATGAGGTAATTAAATGCAATATATTGTAATGCACGCTGAAAATTCCATACCTGCACCACAAATACCGTTTGGAATATAGCTGTTATTATTATTGTTTTCTTGCTGAGGTTTATTCTTGATTCCCCCGTCACGCTTTTTCGGAAAATTAAGCCATATACCTGCGAGTAATAAGTCCTCCGTGATTAGTTGGTGATTTTCTCAAGGTTTAGCTTTGCTGTCGTTTTTCTCATTACCCAGATTCGTGATGTAACATTGGTGTAAATTGTTGTTTACAACTTTCTCTAGTTCGCAGCTAGCTCTCACCACACTACCACTAACGGCTGCAACATGATGGCTGTGAGGGTGAACACATTCGGTGATACTTTTTAGGTTGACATTATCACTAAATACAATTAAGAGAATTTTCAGTTACAATTGTTTCATGACATTCAACAAGAAGGCCACACACATTCTGCAGTAAAGCTCAACATCTCTGTTAATAAATTGTGAATGAAGCTGCATACTGTCTCATTATGGAAGTTTTTTTTATTTATTTTCATTTTTAGATTACAGCTTGATTCCACGCTGTATTTTTGATACAAGTATGGAATTTTCAGCAGGGATATTGGCAGCCCAAATTTTGCAGGACGACCATAGATATCAGGTGTTCGTCGGTAGGGGATCGAACCGCGGACAATGTGCATGGTCGGCGAGAGTCCTAACCACTGTGCCACAGACGCAAACTAATTTCTGCCTCTAACTAGTGTTTTTTCGCCCTCCAGCACATTCATACGCCTCCTGAATAATATATGAAGTTGCTGTTCCTAAATTTTCATAGGTTTGGGGCGTCCTTGAAAGTAAAGATTGATTCCTATATCTAGTTTAGACCGTTTAAGCTTACACCGTGAATTTCTCTGAAATATCCATGAGGAAATCGATCGATCCATGAAACATAAGAAGACAGGGGAACAGAAGCCAGTCAGATTGTACATGCCTTCTTACAGCATTTTGGACCTAAACAATATACATATTGATGATTCAATGCTGAGGCGGTATTTAACTGTCAAGGCCGTCTGCGTCTCACCCACTGGACTCCACTGGAAGAGGCTACAGTCAGTTTCTAGATCATAATGAGTTCCTGCGCCGGCTAGTTACATGTTTTCGTGAATTCGTTTTCCATTGAATTTTAAAGGTTTTTTCTGGATGTTTTGCTCATTTTGCAGTGTGTAGGTCAGTTTTTGTCACTGGGTGCTACTATTTAGCTTATTTTTAGCCTGAAGTTCACAGTTATTATGTTGGTAGTCAAAGATTATTGTAAACCTGCAATTCATTGAGCTAATTAACGTATACTATGCTAATATAGTAACATAGACTATGCTAATAATAGCAACATTAAACTCCCTTACTGTTTTGCCATTGTTTGACAGTGAAACTGTGCGCTGATTTTTCAGCATGAGTGGCACTAAATCGAACCTACTGGGTTCGCTTATCAACATTGTTCCAGCCCTCACAGGACATATTAAGCATGGACTAGCGTTACTCCAGAGCGGAAAGTTTTGATTCAGCACGCAGCTGCTCTTTTAACCACGACCTATGTCATTTCAGAACATAATGGGTAAATATGTTCTTCAGTTACCATAAAAAGGCATTATCAAGGAATAAGTTAGAATAAATTTAGAATTGTTTTAAGCTTGGTGGTGCTGCGGTCTAAGTGATAAATCGCATTAATCACAGTTATTCAGGATATGCTATGAACCGGAAATCCTCAGCTGAAAAACGTATGAATAAGACACACATCGGTGTAATTTATAACTGACTCCAAATTGGTTTCAACACGAAATAATCAACCAAAGTATGCTATAAACTGTCGCCCTCAGCCGTTTGAAGGGAAATTTACTTGATTTATGCTGACCTAGTATGCACAAATCCCACAGGTCATTGAATTGACGACTTAAAAAAGTAGATTAGTTAATACATACATTTATCCATATGTACTAATTAAAGACACATTAAATTTTTAGAAATTGTAGTTAAATTATATTCGCCTAGTAATAAAAAATGCATACATCCTATTTTGGACTTAAAATAAATGCATCGAAATTATTGTTGATTTATATTCAGTTACTAGACATTCTCATGCATCTTAATGTACTTTAAACACCACCAATGCATTCAAATAACGTGTGACTATCACACTACACTCATACCAAAAAAATTAACACGCCATTATGTTATGGTAAGGTAAGCCCTAAATCATACTGTAAATTTCCGTGTCAAAATAAAAAGATTACCGCTTTAACTTATATTTTAGACCAATAGGAAGCCAGCTAACCAAAAGCCAATCAAAATCTGCCTATATCTATTTTCAACTCCACATGGCTGTAACGAGGATTTCATTTCTTAATTATTTTCTCAGGAAGATATCGAAGTTACTCATGCAGATCAACAAAGGATTAATAGCTTTGCTACTTGGAATTTGAAATTCAAAGGTTTCTTATCAGAATATGAGAATTACAAGGTTTGCGCACTTATTTGTAGCTTGTCATTGTTTTTAGAAAGAACTAGCTAATATCAATGATGCAGAAGACGAAATGATTGTCTTGGATGAAAATACTCATCCGTATCCTTTTTTAGCATGTTTCTTACATTGAAGGAAGTTAGTTTTTTTGTGACAGGAAAACTCGCGTAGAAAATAAACCTCACACATACAAGTTCATCAATTCGGTTTGTATGTCCCCTTAAAAGATTGTTGTTTAAGACTAGCATTGCAACTTCGTGGTAGACCATGTTAAGATTTGTATGTACCATGGGCAGTACGACAATTTTCAAGGGTTTATTTAGCAGCTTATGAGCCACTAATAGACTAGCAGTTTTCATGTCTAAGAAATTTTTTTCTCGGAAAAAAATGGCACTATAATTAGCTCACAGGATAGACGACTGGATCGTTGGAAAGAGCATTATGAGGAGCAGTTTAATTTGCCCACAGCCACGCTCAACCTTCCGAGCATCCAACACCTCCCTGAATGGGATATAGATCTGTCTGTCTGTCTGTTTTCGACATAGAACTTTGCACAAATGTGCGGAAGTTCAAGTCGCCACATTCCGTCTAGCACGCGAAGCAAGAGAAGAAAGTACAAGAAAAGCATAATAGAAACAGTGAGCAGAGGTGTGAGACAAAGGAGTAATAAAGAAATACAAAACAGTTTCATTGAAGATCATAAGTCACAGGGAGTGGATGCATCTGCGCCACTGAGAACGATTTTGAGCCATGTCACCAATTGTTTCCAACCATAGATTTTTACCGTCCCGAGGACCCCAGCCTGGAAGTCTACACCTTCCTACGTGGCTTAGACCAACTGTTGTGGATTTCATTGACTGATGCCAAGTTTTTGTTTGACCGCCGCTAGCTTTTTTCCAGCCTGACCCTATATCCGGGTCCTCCGTCACTAACTGAGGTTACTAAAGCTGTCACCAATCTGAAACTAGGCAAAGCAGCGGGACCTGATGGAATGACTCCAGAGGTATTTAAGTACGGTAGAGACAGCTTACTGTCTGCATTAACTGAGGTACTAGGCAGCGTCTGGGAATCAGAAGAAGTCCCATCGGGTTGGTGTAAGTCACTGATTATCCCCATATACAAGAAGGGAGACAAGTCTTCCTGTGATAATCACAGAGGGATTAGCTTGACTAATATAGTATCTAAAGTCTTAGGCTCAATAATCATGCGTAGACTGAGTGGTGCTCGGGAAGCACAAACACGAGAGAGCCAGGCAGGCTTTAGACCAGGAAGAGGGTGTATTGATCATATCTTCACCCTCCGACAGATTCTAGAACATAGGCATTCCTACCGGCGTCCAACAGTCATTATATTTCTTGACCTAAAGGCAGCATTCGACTCTGTCGATCGGGAAGTTCTCTGGAGATGCTTGGCTGTAAAGGGAATTCCAAGAAAATATATTGCACTGATTAAGGCACTCTATTCGCACTCATACAGCCAGGTGAGGGCTTACGGCGAGCTGTCATCTGAACTGATGACGACCAGTGGTGTCCGTCAAGGATGCCCATTATCCCCTTTTCTATTCAACTTCATCATAGATGTGTTAATGGACTTAACCCTAGGTGACTTCAGCGATTCAGGGATTGACTTGTTACCGGGGAATAATCTCGTTGACTTGGAATATGCAGACGATATAGTCCTTCTAGGCGAAGACGCTGATGAAGTGCAGAGTCTTCTAAACACGTTGAGCCGCAATCTACGAATGTTTGGCATGCGATTCGCTCCCGCCAAATGCAAGATGATGTTACAGGACTGACTGGACTACATCGCCGCCTAGTTTAAAAATAGGAAGTGAAGTGGTAGAGCACGTTGACCGCTTCACTTATTTGGGAAGTACCATCAGCCCCAACGGGCTGATCTCTGACGAAATCTCAGCACGAATACAAGGGGCTCGTTTCGCATTTGTTAGTTTACGCCGACTCTGGCGTAGACGAGATGTTCGACTATCGACCAAAGGGCGGGTGTACTGCTCATCAGTCCGCTCCGTCCTCCTTTATGGTTGTGAGACCTAACCACTGAGAGTGGAAGACATGAAAAGACTAGCTGTCTTTGATCATAGGTGCCTGCGTTCTATTTCCCGTGTAAAGTGGCATAATAAGGTGAGCAACATGGAGGTTAGGCGCAGAGTTCTAGGTAAACAGGGGAAATCAATCGACGAAGTCGTGAAGCTACAAAGACTGAGATGGTTAGGACATGTGTTACGTATGCCAAGCCATCGCCTCCCTCGACGAGCTATGTTAGCGGATATAGGGTCAGGCTGGAAAAAAGCTAGCGGCGGTCAAACAAAAACTTGGCATCAGTCAATGAAATCCACAACAGTTGGTCTAAGCCACGTAGGAAGGTGTAGACTTCCAGGCTGGGGTCCTCGGGACGGTAAAAATCTATGGTTGGAAACAATTGGTGACATGGCTCAAAATCGTTCTCAGTGGCGCAGATGCATCCACTCCCTGTGACTTATGATCTTCAATGAAACTGTTTTGTATTTCTTTATTACTCCTTTGTCTCACACCTCTGCTCACTGTTTCTATTATGCTTTTCTTGTACTTTCTTCTCTTGCTTCGCGTGCTAGACGGAATGTGGCGACTTGAACTTCCGCACATTTGTGCAAAGTTCTATGTCGAAAACAGACAGACAGATAGCAGTTTTCATGTCTAAGAAATTCCACTGATGGCAACAGATGGATTCCTTTACAAATATCACGGGTATTTGTGTGCTCAGGTGGTATCAAACGTTGTATCAACCAACACTAAATGTTGCTTAAATCCTTTATAGAACTTCTGATTGTAGCTTGGATTGGGGAATTAGAAAATGAGTGTTTCAGCGAAGGCATATATATATATATATATAGTCATAGCATTTAAAGTTGTGTCCTGAAAGGTGAGAAAGTTCACGTAGTTAGGCTGCTTGGCAGAACACAACACTATGGCCTTGGCTTATATCTTGGTGGACAAGTTTAATGTGGTATTGTATAAATTATTTTACAGCTCTTTAAATCATTGCAAAACATCTACATGTATGTGTTCAAAACCGTATGTTAGTAACATACATATACTCGTTATCTTAGTGTGAAGTGGCTTGCTTACCCTAGGTAACACTATAATAGAAGTTTGAGAGGGTGTCTCAGACTGAAAGTAGATGCAATATATGACTAACGGCGCAGCAGTTCCTTGTGGCCTATGTGTTGCAGATGCGTCCACTCTTCGCAATACCCTACGCTTGGTAAGTTCTCATGACTTTCCTTGTAATTATTCTTTCTCTGGAACTTATGCCTTCATTTAAGTACCTTCGCATGTGTTATCTGCATTTGTGTGCTGATGCCGCAACTTTGACTTCTTCATTTATGTGATACGTTTTACATTAAAAACTCAAAATTTAAATGTTATATTGTTTGTCCTATCGTGATCATAATCACAATAAATTTTCCCATAGTGTATCGGCGCTAGATACCAAAAATGTTCCTTATTTGCCCTTTTAGATTTCCATTTCATTATTAGCTACCAATGTAGGTGCGTTTCATTCTAATAAGTATTGTTTATGATGAAAACACTTACTCCTTTTCATCTCTTTATCATATGTATATATTCTAACGTTACTGATTCACATGATAGTCAACTTTCCCGGAGTAACTGATTCATTACATAAAGTGTTTGTTTCGATATCATTGCCAGACACATGAGAACAAAGCACAATCCATCGAGTTCCCAAAAACATTGCTTGATTGTATGAGCTATTTATTTGTGCGTTGTTTATTATTTTGTGTGGTAAGATCAGTTAGTTACCTTAACTGTTAAAAAGATATGCTATCGGGGATACATTTTTCCATTTGTCTAGTGATGAGATCGGAGAAGAACTTACAGCAACCAAAGAAAAAGTTAAAGTGCGGATGTTAGACCTGGAAGAACGAATTAGTGAGTGTAAAGTGCATATGCACAGTTTGAGAAAAGAATTGTATGGTAAATTTGGAAATCACATAAACCTTGAAGAAGAAGACCAGTAACTCATGCTGTTTTTATTGTTATTATGGTTTGAATTCACTGATACAAATAAAAACTATTTTAGTTTTCAACTAATAAAACAGACTAGTATTAATTATATCCTACGTCCTACTAAAGTCGTACATGTCGAGGGAGTGTTGACATTTGCTTGGGTCATCTAGTCTAGGAATACGTAATACGGAGTTTACTGGCTTCGATTGATCAATTAGAAGAATTTATTGTATTATTAATTATTATTTACCCGAAAACCTTGTGAAAAAACACCTCAGGTAGAGTGAGGGCATACAACCCACTATCATCACTGTTCCTAACCAACAGTGGGGTTAGACAGGGTTGCCCGATCTCTCCACTTCTCTTTAACTTTGCCATCGATGACATTCTGGAGTCAGCTCTGAAAGACGCGCGTGAAGGTGGTGTAGATCTGCTACCTGGAGATAGACTTTTCGACCTCGAGTATGCAGACGATATGGTCTTACTGTGCGATAGCATGCAGGCTGCCTAAATAGCACTTAATCCGTTGGCGATCAGTGTCTGTGTATGGTGTGTGTTTTGTGCCGTCTAAGTGCAAAGTACCGTTACAAGATTGGCAGGAGCCTGTAATTGCACTCACTGTTGCAGGTGAACCGCTTGAAGTTGTTGATAAGTTTGTGTATTTGGGTAGTTGTGTGAGTGCTAGCGGAGGGGTGACGGATGAGATTTTCAGCCGTATAATGGAAACTAGATTGGCATATGTCAACTTGAGCCACGTTGGCCTGGCTGTCAAGCGTCGTATCATATCTTCACCCTTCGACAGATTTTGGAACATAAGCATACTTACCGGCGTCCAACAGTCGTCATATTTCTTGACCTAAAGGCGTCATTCGATTCTGTCGACCGGCAGGTACTCTGACTTACTTCGGAGACTCAGGGCTTGAATTGTTACCACCAGGGAATAATCTCGTCGACTTAAAATATGCAGATGATGTAATCCTGCCGCCTAGCTGGAGACACTGACAAAATGCAGAGTCTTCCAGACACCCTGAGGTGCAATCTGCGAATGTTTGGTATGCGATTCGCTCCTGTCAAATGTAAGATGATGCTACAGAACTCGACTGAACTGGACTACATTGACTCACTCCTAGCTTAAAGATAGGCAGCAGTGAAGTAGTTGGTGAAGCGTGTTGACCACTTCACCTATTTGGGAAGTTGCATCAACACCAACGGGGTGATCGCTGGTAAAATCTCAGCACAGATACAGAAGGCTATGAAGCACATTGAAATATGTCACTGGTTCACTCAGTTCAGAGATTGTAATTCACCTTATGAGGTGAATACAGACCTACTGCTGCTTCTTCAGCAATTCGTTTTATTTACAAATCTTTTTAAACATTTAAATAATTTGTTACAATAATATTATAATTTTAAACCACACTAGATTTCATTATTATCAGTACTACGAAATTCCTGCATGGTAACAATATTCCTCTCGTTTTGCAAACTTCAGTGAATAGTATACTCGGTGGCAATTAGCTGGAAATACTCTGAACATAAAAATGATAACAGTCAGCCACCTCCATTTTTACGATATCACAGTGACTAACATATCATCAGAAGTATATTTATTCGATAGATGAATGCTTTCTTCTATTAAGAATACAACATTCAGCGAACAGAGGTCCTCGGTGGCACGCCTGTAGAATGCTCGCCAACCATGCTGGCGATTCGGGGTTCGACCTCCGACCGAAGCACTCCTTTACATCTGTAAGCCAGTAATACAACTGGTAAAGAGAGTAGGTTAGGCATGAAACTAGCAAACCCATCCCGTAAAAAGAAATAAACACCATTACTACCGAAACATAAAGCCTCTAGCTTGAAGCTCTATGTTCCACTGGGAATGCATAGGAATAAAAAATTAAGCGAAGAGACTGTTTGCAGCGAATTTATTATTAAACTGTACAATCACATACGTATAATCGTTGAACAGTCCTACGTTAAATATTGTGTTCTTAATGTTACAATGGGAATTATATAATTATGGGAGGAATGCAAAACCCTTCCGTTTATGCTTAAGAGATCTCAGCCTTTCTGAGATGATTATGACTGATAACTGTATTATTATTATTGCTCCCTTGGGTTCCTAGTGGAACATAGGGCTTCAACTGCACGTCTCCATTTGCTTCTGTCTTCTGCTGTACTTTTCGCCTGCATCCATGTTAATCCATATTCTTCCAACTCCTCTTCACACGATCTCCTCCATGTCACCCTTGGACGTCCCACACGCCGCTTCCCTTTCGGGTTCCACTCGAGGGCTTGACGCGCGATGTCACCCAGCGGTCTCCTCAGCGAGTGTCCGATCCATCTCCACTTTCTCCTGCATATTTGTTGGGCGATTGGTTCTTGCATTGTTTGTTCCCATAATCCCTTGTTGGTGATTCTTTCCAGCCATCTGATCTTCAGTACAGAGCGGAGACAGTTGTTAATAAAGGTCTGCAGCCTTTTGGAAATATTCTTTGTGGCCCGCCAAGTTTCTGATCCGTATAGAAGAACTGACTTTACGTTTGTATTGAAAATCCGAATTTTGTTGGTGATGCTGAGTGACGAAGATTTCCAGATTGATTTCAGGCTGATGAATGTGTTTCTCGCCTTCCCGATTCTCGATTTGACATCCTCGTCCTCTCCTCCTGTAGTTGAGACAATACTCGACTTGTTACCAGGGAATAATCTTATGGACTTAGAATATGCAGATGACATAGTCCTGTTAGGGGAGGATGCTGACAAAATGCAGAGTCTTCTGAACACCTTGAGCAGCAATCTTCGTATGTTTGGCATGCGATTCGCCCCTGCAAAATGTAAGATGCTGCTACAGGACTGGACGACGTCAACCCCTAACTTAGTGATAGGGAGTGAAGTGATAGAACATGTTGACCACTTCACCTACTTGGGAAGTTGTATTAGCACCAACGGACTGATTGGCGATGAAATCTCAGCACGGATCCGAAAAGCTCGAGCTGCTTTCGCTGACTTACACCATCTCTGGCGTAGGCGTGACATCCGGTTATCAACCAAGGGACGTGTGTACTGCTCATCAGTTCGCTCCGTCCTTCTCTATGGCTCTGAAACATGGCCAATACGCGTTGAAGACATGAAAAGATTGACTGCTTTCGATCATAGATGTCTGCGATCTCTGTCTCACGTTAGGTGGTTTCACAAGATAAGTAATGTTGACGTTAGGCGTAGAGTGTTGGGCAAAGAGGGAAAATCAATCGACGAGGTTATAAAGTTACATAGACTGAGATGGCTAGGTCACGTGGTGCGCATGCCTAACCACCGCCTCCCCCGACGGGCATTGTTAGCTGATATAGGTTCAGGTTGGAAAAGAGCCAGTGGTGGCCAAACAAAAACGTGGCATCAATCCATGAAATCCTTGACAGTTAAACTGAGTCAGGTAGGGAGATGCAGACTCCCGGGTTGGGGCCCTCGGGACTCTAGGAATCAATGGCTGGAGACTATAGGTGACATGGCTCAAAATCGTTGTCAATGGCGCAGATGTATTCAATCTCTGTAATCTTTCATATTCCTTTCTACCATTACCCATTCTGTTTCACTCTTATACTTGTCAAACTCTATTGATTCTCTTCACTCATCTTCTTGTCTACCTCTGTGTGCTATTTGGAACGTGGCAACTCGAACTGCTGCACTTCGGTGCCAAGTTCTATGTTGAATCCAGACAGAGACAGACAGACAATACTCCCTAGATAAGTGAATGAAGTGACCTCTTTCAAATCCCTCCCGTTGATGGTGATTGACGTTGGATGCTGTTGCTGTTGTTGGTTGGTTATTTTCATAACCTCCGTCTTGTCTATGTTTACCTGGAGTCCTGTCTTTGCTGCTTCTTCGACCAGTTTGTCGGTTTTCGCTTGTAAGTCTTCGATTTTGTGTGACATCAAACATAAATCATCCGCGAAATCCAGGTCTTCTAGGTTCTTCACGTCGGTCCAGGATATTCCTGTCTTCTCGTTTCCCACTCACTGTCTGACGCATAATCCAGTCCACCACAATTAGGAATATCATTCGTGATTATAAGCACCCTTGTCTGACTCCTGTGTTTACTCCAAACGCCTTGCTGAGTCTTCCGTTGTGGATCACTTGGCAGGTGCCGTTGTCGTACAGCTGTTGAATAAGGTTGATGAATATTTGGGGTACGCCGTAGTACTCGAGTAATTTCCAAATTACTTCACGGTCAACGCTGTCGAAGGCCTTCTCAAAGTCTATAAAGTTGAGGTAGAGGTTTGATTGCCATTCCATGCTTTGTTCTGTGATGATGATGCGTAGAGTTGCAATTTGGTCAGTACATGATTTGCCTTTCCTGAATCCAGCTTGTTCTGGTCGGAGTTCTGCCTCCAGTGCGTCCTTTATTCTCTCCAGGATGATGCGACTCAGGATTTTACTTGGCGTCGACAGGAGCATGATTCCTCGCCAGTTCTTGCAGAGTGAGGCGTAAGTCGCCCTTCTTTGGTAGTTTCACGAGGTAACCTTTCCTCCAGTCAGTAGGCACCTTTCCCTCCTTCCAGACCTTTTGCAATAATGGAGTCAGCATGTCTGCTGTAGTCTCTGGGTCCGCTTTCAGTGCTTCAGCGGGTATTCCATCTGGTCCGGCTGCTTTTCCAGCTTTCAGAAGCTTGATTGCGTTCAAGACTTCAGCTCTCGTTGGGGGATTGGTGTCAACTTGCAGTTGTGTGCGCGCTGTTGTTGGTATTTCTGGACGGGTTGCAGGTGATGGTCGGTTCAAGAGTCCTTTGAAGTGATCCGCCCATTGTTTAATCTGTTTTTCTTCCTTGGTAATTGGGCTCCCTTGGCTGTCTTTTATAGGTTTCGCTTGTGTTGATCTCTTCCCGGATAGAGATTTGGTTATCTGATATAATGTCCTCAGGTCC